GTATATTTGTAAAATTGGAAATTGGAATCCTGCAAATGTTATTTTCCTCTTATGTTATTCCCTCCATTTAAAATGTCCTCCCTTCCCATCCTGTGTGGATAAATTCATTCCTCATGTCTTTCAATGGTTCTCTTTCCTAAAGTAGCTTAAAAGATGTTATACCAGGGCACCTGGCTGGCTCCGTTGCTATGTGTCCGACTCTTGGTTTCGGCCCAAGTCATGATCTCATGCTTTGTGAGTTTGAGCCCCACATCAGGCTCTGTGCTGACAGTGAGGAGCCTGCTTGGGATTCTCTCTCTCTCTCTCTCTCTCTCTCTCTCTCTCTGCCCCCCCCCTTTCTCTCTCTCCCCCTCCCTCTTCTTCCCCCCCCCCCGTGCTTGCTCTCTCTCTCAAAATAAACTAAAACAAAACAAAACAAAAAACTTCTAAAATAAAAAAGATGTTATACCAACTTCCATGCAAAACTGTTATAGCCATCTTTTTAGATGTTTGACCTGAGTTAGGCAATCATACTACTGCATGTGTCTTAACTTGGGAATATGAAACTGTCACATCTACGTTTTTTCCTAGAGAATGCATTCATGAATTATTGCTCCTCAGTTCTTATTAGAAGTTCTGTTGTGAGAAGGCAACATTCATAGATTTCTCAAGGACATGATTCATTTATTCTTTTAGAGTAGTGGTTCTGTACTTAAAACAGTAACCTCTTTGAAAATTTCCTGCAAACTGTGGACTCTTGACTGAAAAATGCATTTGTACACATGCATATATTTAAGTTCAGGATCCTCTTGGTCCCTCAGTATCCCATGTATGCTAGGTAAGGACCCTTGCTCAAAAGTACAGTTAAATCTTTAGATAAAGCCTGCATCAAAAGGGCTATGTACTCAGATCACGTGGTTTTACTCTCCCTGATTCGAATTGCTTTTATTGGATCGTACATTGTTATGCTTCACTCGATATTGAGGAACATTTTGAGAAACGGTTCTGTGAAATTCACTTATGTTTTCATTGTAGTAATTGGAGACTTTGTCCCTATTTCAGTTTTTCACAGCATCATGAGATTGCAGTCCATTAGTGGGGTGTGAAATGAATTTTGTGGTCTCAACCACCAAATATTTCTGGGGTTTGTATTGTTTTTTTTTGTGTGTGTGATATTTAATACTAATAATTCGTATTTGATTTTAATGCTACTCTTCCTTTTTAATAAGTGTAAGTATTATTTCATGAAGCTTTTAGTTTTTTTTATGTGTTTACTGGATTACTGTGTAAAATGTGTTTCTTAAATATATTTTGGGGTCAAAAAAGTTTGAAAACTGTACTCTATCCTACTTTCTCTTAACATGGACTCAGGAGAAATTTTTTTTCTCTTTATTCTCTTCTGTAAAATGGGAATAATAATAATTGCTACTTCATAGGGAAGTAGTGAAGAGTAAATGTATCTAAAGTGCTTAGAACAGTGCTTCCTAGCACATTGTAGGTGGTGCTCTTGTTACCGGGAAGAGCAGTCTTCAGGGTTAATGCTTTGTTTTTATCTTACATTAAAAGACTTGTTATTAAAGATGTCCTTTATTTTGGCTGGTAAAAAATGAGAAGCTCAGAGATAAATTTGTGGCAAAAGATTAATAATTAATTCTTTGTCTTCCCTTGGCCCTAATTCTGTCACTTTAAAAATTTTGTTTTATCTTTGTAAGCAGTTTATATCAGAATCATCAAAATATGCCATTTTAATTTTAATTTAATTCCATTATAATTTCAGAGATATTTTCATATTCACGAAAGGTAGAGGCTCTTGTGAACATCCACTGCCTGTATTAAGCTTGTAGATTAATGAAACTTCAGATCTCCATCATGGTTAGTTTCTGTCTCTCTTTAGCTATATGGTTTAGTCCAACACAGAAGAGAATCTTGGTAGCTATATTAGCTACCTGCCTTATTGAACAAACGTGTAAGCCCAGTTAAACTTATGCTATGTGGAAGCAGCGCTTTCAACAATAGCCATATTATGGAAAGAGCCTAAATGCCCATGAACTGACAAATGGATAAAGAAGATGTGGTTTATATATACAATGGAATACTACTTGGCAATGAGAAAGAATGAAATCTGGCATTTGTAGCAACGTGGATGGAACTGGAAGGTATTATGCTAAGTGAAATAAGTCAGTCAGAGAAAGACAGATACCATATGTTTTCACTCATATGTGGATCTGGAGAAACTTAACAGAAGACCGCGGGGGAGGGAAAGGGGGAAAAAATAGTTACAAACAGAGAGGGAGGGAGACAAACCATGAAAGACTCTTAAATACAGAGAATAAACTGAGGATTGATGGGGGGAGGGGATGGTGGGGGAGAGGGGAAAATGGGTGATGGGCATTGAGGAGGGCATTTGTTGGGATGAGCACTGGGTGTTGTATGTAAGCAACGAACCATGGGAATCTACTCCCAAAACCAAGAGCACACTGTACACATTGTGTGTTAGCCAATTTGACAATAAGTTACATTAAAAAAAAAAGTTAAAAAAGATAAACTTGTGCTGTGTGGAGACTCAAGTTATAATAGATCCTCATAGTAAAGCTCTACTAAATCTTTTTATGCATTGAAATAGAAATGTGTCATTAAAAATTTTCAGAATAATATAGTTCAATGTCATTTTTTCATAATGTGGCATCAGAATAACATTGGATAGTTAATCATCTCTGTTAAATATTATGTGCTGTTTGTTACTTCGGTATATGCTTATGTATCTGTCCTAAAATATTTCTGAACAAAATGGTAAACTTAACATTTCTAAGATATATCAGTCTGTGTGGTAAAAATGCCTGGGTAAAGAGGTATTATTGTGGAAATAATGTGTAAGAAATTGTAGTTTTCTGGATTTCTTCTAGTGATGTACATTTGTTAAGGCTAATTTTCCACGTGTGTTTTTAGAAACTTAGTATTTGCCATTTTGAATCTTCAGTAATTCACTTAAAGCTGAAAAAATTAGATTGACCATATTTAAGATAAACTTTAAGAAGTGAGTACTCTCATGTGTCCCAGAATTTTTGAAAGCAGAAGTCTTTACAAATCCATGGTATATAGAAAGACATTAGAGTGTTAGATCTAGATTTAAGTTTTCCTACTTCAGCAGTTTGGAGAAATTGAAAATCCAAACAAATGTGTGAGAATTTGTTCTTCAGGTGGAATAAGTTTTAGAAGGGAGAATCCAGCAATCGGTAATAGAAAAGCGTGGAAAAGGAAATAGTAGAGGTAAAGATTTTTACAATGAAGTCTTGGTAGCAATAAATGGTGAAGGGAAATTCTGGCCTCAGAATATGCACCTGTATCTGTTGGGATGTTGGAATCTGAGTTGTGTGTGGATATTAGAGGGCTGATGGCATCTGTTTTGATACAAAGTTACAGTGGTCATAGCTTTGTAATTAAGTTTTAGGGAAAAAATTGGAGTGATACTTGTTTTATGTCTGAGATATTTGGATTTTTTCTAATGTGTGAATGTTAGGATAGTTGCCAGCTATATTGAAGGGGTACGAGTTAAGTAAATAAAACCACTTTCGCTCCTTGAGATCATGAAGAAATCCGGAAAGTCAATGACCTGGGCATAAAATCAGAAAAGCTTGAACTTTTTAAAAATTATATTAGAATTGTATAGAATAGAAGTTCGAAGTGGGCAAGATGATAAGTAGGAGCTGACTATGTAGTTGAAGACATTTCAGATGCCATTATATACTGTTTCTAGGGTCTTTGTTTTTGTGAGCACATAATCATGGGGCGTCTCAAGGTTCCCTTGAGGCAAACTTTCACCAGTTTTGGTTTTCAGAAGTCTTAAATTTCTCAAAAGCCAGTTATCTTGCTAGAAGGCAGTGTAGCTCAAGGGAAGGGATCTGTATGTAGGCTTTGGAATCAGAAAGACTCAGATTTGAAAGTTGAGTTGTGCCATTTAGTTATTACTGATGCCAGTGACCTCCCCGTGAGCCCTGGCTTTAACATCTCTAACACAATTATACGGTAATTCAGTAAGTGCAGACTTTTATTGTGAGGTTTAGGTATGATGTGTAGACATTTGGCAAATGGTAGCTGCTGTTAGCCATTTTGGGAATCTAACTGTTGTGACTGTGGAAAGATCCATGGTACTTGGTTGTTTTACTTCTACAAAGTTTTAAAGGCAGAATTGTTCAGAACTAAAGTAGAGATGAAGAGAAATTCATCTAATTTGCATCCATTGTTCATTGCCTCTTCCTACAAGTGATTTCTGTAACTTGTTAAGCATATATACTTTCATAAAATCCTTAACTACTAACTAAATGGCTTTTAACCCTATTTTTTTAAATTTAACTTACTTGCTTCTCCTAGATAAATTTATAGCATCATTTTCTGGTACACTGTTTTTAATGTATTCATATACTTATTTAATGGATTATAAATACAACTGGAGGTGGAGTAGGCATTTAAATATTTAATTTTTTCTATTTAAAGGCAAGTTATCAGAAATGGAAAACTGGATCCCATTGTATGCTTTCTAATGCTTGGAATAAATCACTAAGGAAAATACAGTGTGTATCAAAATGAGCATTATTTCATTTCAAGTCTTCTGGGGGAATTTTTAAGTTTCTGTAATAGAACTATAATACGTGTTACAATTACAGTGGCCAAAAAAATTTTATTTCCATTTGCTTAGCATTTGCTACCTGATTCAGTTCCACAAAGATAAATTCAGTTGGAAACTGTTAAAAAAGTAAATTTAAAAGAAAATCTGTGAATTTAACATGATCGTCATTGGGTATATAGGTTCCAGCTTACTAAATAAAGCTTAGTCTTTATGACAGTATGAAATAGTGAGATCTAACTAACTTAGTGAAGTTTTTTTCAGTGTGTACTATCCTCTGATTTTATTTTATAAAGTACATTGCAAAAGGTTTTAGACTTTATTTCTCACTTAATATTTGTGTTATTTTTCAAACATCTAATTAGGTGAAACTGAATTGATTTCAATTTCTATGTTACAGGAGATTACCTGGGGCAATCGATGTTATTGGTCAGACTATAACAATTAGCCGAGTAGAAGGAAGACGACGGGCAAACGAAAACAGCAACATACAGGTTTCGTATTTTAAAAATGAATTAATTTTGAAACTGAAGAATTACATCCATGTTCTAATTTAATTATTCAATATACATTTATAGTGCTATGTTATCAATGTTAGGTATTTTAGATTTAAAATATGGAATTAATCACTTTTATTACAAAAGCTATTCTATTTAGAAGTTATTACCTTTAGATCTTTTTCAGTAAGATTTCTTTCTCTTTTTTTTTTTTTTTTTTTTTTTTTTTTGCTGTAAGCATAATATATAGGCTAATTGGACTAAAAAAGGGAAATATTGGAAAAGTTTAAAGAAGGAAATAAAACTACCGATAATTCTAGCATCTAAAGATTAACACTCTGGTACTTACTTCTCTTTGTCACCAAGCAAGATTACGATATACTATTATGATTCTTTTTTGTGTATCCTTTAAAAAAAATTATCATTTGCATTTTTCCATATTCTTAAAAATATTTAAAATTTCTTTATGATAGTTTCATTGTATGGACATACATAATTTATTAAATGTAACATTTTGGGGGGAAGTAGATTTTCTTTGTTTTCAAGTGAAATAATGAAAGGAGATGAGTTATTAGTAACTTGGATAATTCAAGTTAGAACTTTAGTAACAGATTTTCAGCTATTAGCTTGATCATACGTTTTTAAAAATTATTTCCTTTTTCTCAGTGCTTTAAAAAATGTCAAAGTGTTTTGATCCTCATCACTTTTAATAAATTAATCTTGTTTTTAGCATGCTTGAGGGTAAATCATTTCTAAGCTGGTAGATAGTTCTCTCTTCTTTTCCCCACCATTAAAATGCCTGGATTTCTTAGAATAATTCTGTTCCCTACTTTAAAAAATAGCTTATCAGCATAAGTGTTACAAAAATTGCTATACTTAAAAATGAAGAAGTTAATGAAAAGAGGGATTATGTTTAAATGATACCCTTCAGCCAGCAAGGATTTTTAGAAGTGTACATTAAAAGCACATTATGTTGTCTGTTTCTGCTGTTTTCTTAAATGTGTTTGCACATCAGAATCCCTCAGGGAGGCCTGACAAAAATCCAGATTTCTGTGTGTCACTCCTGTAGGTTTGCTGCCTGTCCCTTACCTTTTTACACAAATCACTATTTTGTAAACACTTCCACTTTTCAAGTATGAACCCTTGTTCTTAAATTTACAAGGCTCACATGAAAAAGTTATTTATATATCGGGCTGCCTATTATTTGCACCCTGTTAATGCATACCACCTGCTGATAGGCCCTAGTACAGTGAAGATCTCTTCTGTTGCCATGTTGATTTCTTAATGCTTCTATCTGTGACTAATGATTACATTGCCTTAATGTGAGTACAGTAACTTGGTTGGGTAACAAAGATAATACTTATTACATTATATTTATAAAGTACTTAATTTATAAATACTCTCGTTGAGAATGTTTTTATTCTTTTCTAAAGTTTTTTTTAATGCTTATTTTTGAGAGAGAGAGTCAGAGAGGGTGTGAGCAGGGGAGGGGCATAGAGAGAGGGAGACAGAATCCAAAGCAGGCTCCAGGCCCTGAGCTGTCGGCACAGAGCCTGACATGGGGCTCAAACTCATGAATCATGAGATCATGACCTGAGCTGAAGTTGGACGCTTAACTGACTGAGCCACCCAGGTGCCCCAGAATGTTTTTATTCTTACTAAGTTTTTTTGGTAATGATTCAATCATTTATTCTAGGCTTTATGTGGACATCTTAAATAGTGTGTGTGAGTATATACTCACATCTGTACATATACACATAAATCATAGACATGGAAAATTTGCTTCAAAATATGTGTTATGTGAATAAAACTTTTTACTTTGTTTCTTAAATGAAATAAATTTACTGAGTTTTTAATCTTAGGTATGTTTTTAAAATTAACTATATTTTAATTTTAGGTCCTTTCTGAAAGATCTGCTACTGAAGTAGACAACAATTTTAGCAAACCACCTCCATTTTTCCCTCCAGGAGCTCCTCCCACCCACCTTCCACCTCCTCCATTTCTTCCACCTCCTCCAACTGTCAGCACTGCTCCACCTCTGATTCCACCACCAGGTAAATAGTAAATAAGACATTTGATTTTGAGAGAAAAATTACCATGAGTGTTTCTTCTATTTTGAATTCTAATAATTAAAATAGATATTTGAAAATAAAGTCTTCACTGATTGCACTGCATTATAATTAATAGATAGGAAACTTATGTTAAATCTTCAATAGATTCGGAGTGAAAACAAATCTGTATGTGCTATGTCAGCACAGCAAAGAATACGCTAATAGAGAAGACTGGACAGATAAGAAACTTGTGATCCAAGGTATGATAGTGATCACTAAAATTGCTAATTGTATACATAGCTTATGTATACATAAACCATGTTAACTTGTTCTGAAAAGGTTTAAAGATACTTTCAGAATTGGAGTAGGTTCAAAAAAATATATCCTGTGAAGAGATTGACGTGAAAATCTCTGGTCGTTTTTTTGTATCCTGATTTCCTTTTAGTAGACCTCTTCTGGGTGCCAGATACCTGGTATTTACTTCTTTTAAAAAGTCAGAAAATTAGTTTTATCATATTTGAGCCACTTTTGATTATTTGTGTAATTGGTGGCAATAGAAAAAAATTCATGAATAATCCCCAGATTTTTATATTTTCAACCTTACATCCAGGGGCCTTTGTTATTTTATTTCCATTAAGCTTCTGGTATTTATTCCCCTTAATCAGTTTTGGATGAAATAGCAAGACTGATTGAGATAATAATTACTTTCTTCCTAGGGAGAATACCAGCAGTAAATGATAAAAACTAGCTCCTGCTCATAATTATAACTACATACGTGAGATAAAGTTTTCTTACATTTATAAATAAGTTAATATCAATTTATACTAAATAATAAAGTTAATTTATACTAAAGAGCCACGTCCACTCAGTTACTTGGCAATTCAAGAGAGCCGTACTCGTTTTAAGGTACCAGTTTTGATAAGAGTACCAAGGCACTTTAAGGGTCTGAATAGTCCTTCCCTATAGTGTTCATTTTTGGTCTCTAAATATCAACTGTTTAATTGGCCCTACAGCCACAACAACTTTGATTCCCTTCCATTGTCACTTCTGTCTTCATAAAGGATAAGAATTATGAAAAATGTCTGGTTTTAGAGATTCTGTTGTCTCAGAAATAGAGGAAAGAGAAGACTGGATAGGTTGGAAGTGCTTACTCCAGACAACGTTGTTTCTAGAATTCAACAAATTTCTTGTTTTGGAGCATAAACCATTCAGAGGTTGTGATGGGACCCAGGATTCTTAGGTCTTTAATATGGTGAGAATTAACTAAAGGAAAAGGGAAAGGAATGAAGATGTAGTGATTCATTGATGAGTCCTTTGTCTACCGAAAAGATAAAATGTATAAATAGTTCATTCTGAACATACTTGATTTAGTGACATTACAAGATAATCAGTGTACATTATAATAGTCCTTATGCTATATTGCTTGATAATCTTAATTTTAGTAGGTATTAATGGTGATTTGAAAGAATTTTTTTTTATTGCTAAGCTAATACAGTATATCCCCAGATTGCTTTATATAATTTATATAGTCACCACTAGCTATTGTGAGAGAGTAAGTGGTATGAAAAATGGTGAAAATATAAATACCTTATTGATACAATATTTAGAATCTCTGTAGGATATTCTTCATAGGCACTGGCATTATCTGGAAGTATGACTTTTTCCAAAATCATAAAACTACTCCATTTCTTTGCCATATAACTTCTATTTATAAGGATTAGTATCTTTTAATAATATTTAGGTCATCTATGGCATTACAGCATAGAGTAACACTGATTATTATTTTTCTGTTGTTTAAGTTATTTATTTACAGGCTTACCTCGGAGATATTACACTTCTAGACCACTGCAATAAAATGAATCAAATTATGTTTTTGGGGGGTTTCTTGGTGCATGTAAAAGTTAATGTTTATACTATGCTATAGTTCATTAAAGAGTGCAATAATAGCATTATGTCTAAAACTCAATGTACATACCTTAATTAAAAAGTACTTTATTGCTAAAAAAATGTTTATCATCATCTGAGTGTTAAGTGAGTATAATCTTTTTGCTGATCTTGGTGTCTTTTGATGTTGAAGGCTGCTGACTTACCAGGGTGGTGGTGGCTGAAGGTTAAGGTGGCTGTGGCAATTTCTTACAATAAGACAGCAATGAAGTTTGCCTCATCCGTGGACTGTTCCTTTCACAAGTGATTTCTCTTTTGGATGTGATGCTGTTTGATAGCATCTTAGCCAAAGTAGAACTTTCAAACTTGGAGTCAATCCTTTCAAACCCTGCTTCTGCTTTTATCAGCTAAGATTATGTAATATTCTGTATTCTAACTCCTTTGCTGTCATTTCCACAAACTTCACAGCATCTTCACCAGGAGTAGACTCCATCTCACGAAACCACTTTCTTTGCCCATCCATGAGAAGCAGACCCTCATCTGTTCATGTTTTGCCCTGAGATTGTAGAAATTCTGTCACATCGTCAGGCCCCACTTGTCATTCTAGTTCTCTTGTTATTTCCACCACGTCTGCAGTGACTTCCTCCACTGAAGTCCTGAACCCCTCCCAGTCATCCACGAGGCACGGAATCAACTTCTTCCAAACTCCTCTTCATATTGATATTTGGATCTCTCCCCATGAATCATGGATGAATGTTTTTAATGGCATCTCGAATCATGAATCCTTGCCAGAATGTTTTCAGTTTACTTTGCCCAGATCTGCCAGACAACTGGAATCATGGTCTCTGACAACTTTATTCTTATGAAATGTGTTTCTTCAGTAATAAGACTTGAAAGTCAAATGACTCCTTGATCCATGGACTGCAGAATGGATATTTGTTATGGGGCATGGAAACATTAATCTCCTTGTGTGTCTCCAACAGAGAGCTCTTGAGTGACCAGGCACATTGTCGATGGGCAGTAATATTTTGAAGGGAATCTTTTTTTTCTGAGCAGTAGTCTCAACAGTGGCTTAAAATATTCAGTAAACCATGTTGTCAACAGATGTGCTGTCATCCAGACTTTGTTGTTCCACTTTTAGGGCAGAGCACAGGCAGAGTGGATTTAGCATAATTCGTAAGGGCCCTAGGATTTCAGAATGGTAAATGAGCATAAGTCACCAGCTGCATTAGCCCCTAACAAGAAAAGAGTCAGCCTGTCCTTTGAAACTTTGAAGCCAGGCCTTGACTTTTCTTGAGCTGTGGAAGTCCCAGATGGCATCTTCTAATAGGAGGCTGTTTTATCTACATTGCAAATCTGTTTAGTGTAGCCACCTTTATGAATTATCTGAGTGAGACCTTCTGGGTAACTTGCTGCAGCTTCTGTATCAGCACTTGCTGCCTTGCCTTGCACTTTACGTTACGGAGATGGCTTCTTTCCTTAAACCTCACGAACCAACCTCTGTTAGCTTTGAACTTTTTTCTTGCAGCTTCCTCACCTCTGTCAACCTTTACAGAATTGAAGAAAGTTATAAGGGCTTTGCCCTGGATTAGCCTTTGGCTTAAGGGAATGTTGTGGCTGGTTTGGTCTTCTATCCAGACCACTCAGAGTTTCTCCATATTGGCAGTAAGGCTAGTTTGCTTTCTTATCATTGTGTGTTCACTGGAGTAGCACTTTTAATTTCTTTCAAGAACTTTTCCTTTGCATTCACAACTTGACTGGCACAAGAGGCCTATCAGCTTTTGGCATGCCTTCCTCACTAAGCTTAATCATTTCTAGCTTTTGATTTAAAGTGAGAGACCTATAACTCTTCCTTTCACTTGAACATTTCAAGGCCATTGTAGGGCTATTAACTGGCCTAATTTCATTATTGTTGTGTCTCAAGGGAGAAGGAGAGAGAGAGAGAGAGAGAGAGAGAGAGAGGGAGAACACAAACAACATTTATCGTTTAAGTTTGCCATCTTATATGTGATTGAGTTTTGTGGTGACCCAAAACAGTTAAAACAGTAACATCAAAAGAGCATTGATCACAAGTGGCCATAACAAATAAAATAATGAAAAGTTTGAAATATTGCGACAGTTACCTTAAATGTGACACAGAGACGTGAAATGTGCAAACACTATTGGGAAAGGACTCTAGTAGACTTGCTGATGCAGTGTTGCCACAGGCCTTCAGTTTGTTAAAAACAAAAGCACGGTAACTACGGAGTGCTGTAAAGTGGGTGCAGTAAAATGAGGTATGCCTGTAATGTTAATTTTCAGCTACATGCTTTCCATATTTTAAACACCTGTCTGGATTTCCTTTGATGGCTTATTCTTAGAATTGCCATGCTGTCCTGTCAGCATTTAAGAATACTAATTTAGGGGCGCCTGGGTGGCGCAGTCGGTTAGGCGTCCGACTTCAGCCAGGTCGCGATCTCGCGGTCCGGGAGTTCAAGCCCCGCTTCAGGCTCTGGGCTGATGGCTCAGAGCCTGGAGCCTGTTTCCGATTCTGTGTCTCCCTCTCTCTCTGCCCCTCCCCCGTTCATGCTCTGTCTCTCTCTGTCCCAAAAATAAATAAACGTTGAAAAAAAAAAAAAATTAAAAAAAAAAAAAAAAAAAAAGAATACTAATTTAGATGAATTCTGATGCTTGTTAAAGCAGTACCTAACTGGTATATTTGCTGGTGGCTGGGAGATACCAATTGATACTAAAACCAAATATTTGTAAATTGAGACTATCTGAATTACTGTTTAATTGTACCAGCTCATGAGCTGTTGGGAGAGAACATAGCTCACATTTCCACCTGTGTTTCTCAACAATGCTAATCACAAAGATCTTTTGTATACTTGACATTCCTTAAATAAGATAGCTGATTGAGTTAATGTGCTTATGTATCCATAACACCAGAGAGATTTTCAGATTGACAGTTGATACAGTCAGACACTTAATCAGTCAGAGTGGGTACTAGGTTTCAATAACAGTATGGCTACATGGATGTATACCAACTGAATATTGGCCTTGATTAAAGTCACATTTTCAGTTACCATTTACCACAGAACCACATGATTAGAGTACATTCTATAGAGCTCACTGTAATT